AAAATTGTCTGCAATAATAGGTAAAAGAGAGTATAGAGACTTTGGTAGTAAATAGATTTCGTATTTATTTAGCATTATATTTTATTGAAACGCTCCAAGTGCCTGTGTGGTCTACAGCAGCTGCTGTAAACAAACACATCTTTCCCGCAGGCGTGGTTGATACAAATCACGTGCCTCAAATTCCTGTTTTATGCAAACTGCATGCACAAACTGTGCACCTTTGTACACTCAGGATACCACTGCCACAATGCTAGCACATCTGTGCATGTACACGTGGGTGCGTGCGTGGGCATGCACGTACATGCGTGCGTGCGTGCGTGCGTGTGCACGTAAGAGTGCGTGCGTGCGTACGTGTACACGTACACGTGCGTGTGTGCGTGCATGTGCACGTACACGTGCGCGCGTATGCACGTACAGGTGCGTGCGTGCGTGCATGTACTCGTGCGTGCGTGCGTGTGTGTGCACGTACACATGCGTGTGTGTGCATGTACACAGAATATATGTAGTAGGCCTACATATACGTACTGAACCGAGAGCGCACGCCGCACTCGAGATTTCATAGATTTTTGTCACAAATGACCCGGTGATCTGTGACGTCACACAAACCTTTGGCTAACTACGAACTGGCTTATTGCAGCTCACGACATATCTGCTACATGAGCGGGCCGCCGCCGTCGTCGTCGCCATGTCTCGTAGACTAATGCTGCAGCTCGCGTCGCTGCCAACCGTCGCCTGTCGGCAGGCGCTCCGTCCCCGCCGCTCCCCTCTCCTGCGGGCCGCCAGTACGGCCGGCGTGTCGCCGAGTTGCTGTCCCCTGCATACGTGCAGCGTCCTCGCGCGAGGTGACGCTGAGGCGGTGCCGGAGGAGGAAGAAGTAGCCTCGGCGGCAGTGGTGATGGAGAAGGAGCGGAGTATGCCAGCTCCGGATGATCCGCTCCTGGTACGGGACTTCCTCGATCCGGCTCGCTTCATCGAAGCAGTGCGCAGCATCGGCGTCGAATTCTTCTGCGGGGTTCCCGACTCCCTGCTCAAGGTAACACGTGGCCGTGACGTATACATTACGCGACCGTATGTCACCATTTTTGCAAGAAGATTGCTTCTGATTGTGATTCCAATTACAATCGCTAAATACATCCCCAAATTCTTAGTCGATAAGATTGTTTCTAAAGTAACTGAAAATACAAAAACAAGTTTCTGGACAACTTAAATTATTGAATAATTGGACCGTGGCTCCTTTGATTCCATGTTCTGCAAGTTATATGAACGGCGACGTCGTGGTTAAAAGTGCGACGAGGTGGCTAAAATGGCGACTAGGTGGTTTTAAAATAAGAGTGACAGCGTGGTTGAAGAAGGTCAACGTCGTGGTTAAAAAGCAAAGCGTCGTAGTTAAAAATTTGTGACGTCGTGGTTGAAAAAAAGGTGACGTCGTGGTTGAAAAATGGTGACGTCGTGGTTTAGAATGGATTAAAAACACACGACACGACGGCAGTTATATAACACCGATGTGCGATGTCGTGCGCGACGTCGCATGTAGATGACCGCGGCACCGAGTAAGCTGCGCGATTGCAATTATCGAACATGATAATTTTCGTAGATCATTGTGTCGAGAAAATTTTTTGGCTAGTACTATTTACAGTGACCCATTGATTTTATGACTGGTTCGGCGAGCGCGTATTATAGCGTAACACAGATAAAGTGAAAATAAACATAAGAGTGCATCAAGAGAACACAAACTATATTAACAACTAATAATGAGGAACTGACAGTGCATCTGCTCATTATGTGTGCTCAGTATAATTATTTATGTTCTTATGCAGTGTATGTAGGATATGTTCTTAGTATATGCGCTAATTATATTTGCTGTGTAGGCCTACCTTTCACCGCCTTTCCCCGAATTATTGCCAAGCGGACGAGCATATGATGCTAAACCCCGATTTTTTTTAAATATCTATTAAATATTTTGTATCATCAACATATATGGGCCCTTTCGTGACTATAGTAGTCTGTACCCAAAACTCTCGCCGTTCATTTTTGATAATTCGTACGTTACCTGGCAGCGTAATATCCGTGTTATAGAAAATTGTAGCGCACCACTCCGACAGCGATTTAACTATTCGTTCGTCTACGTAACAAAAATGTGTCCGTCAATAAAATTTCTAGCGAATAGTAACAGGATAATATCCAAATATATATAATATTAATATTAACGGTTACATGGCACATGAGCACATTTTTTGCCGCTATTGTTCCATGGAGCATTGGCCCTACGCAGCTCCTTTGCTGAGATTTCTATAACAGTCTTTGCCCTGCAAACCTACCAGTAATGGGAGTATGTAAGAGAATTGCGGAATGTATTGCGACGCTGGTATAGCATGTGAATGAAGTAGACTCAAGTAGTGAGTGTTGTGAAGAAGTGAGTGCTACCGCGTTCCAAAAATAATCGTCTTTCTGCAAGCACATTTCCGCAACCGTTCAACGACATATTCAGGGCCGCATAGCCTGCGGGGGGCAAGAGGGGCAGCTGACCATCTAGATTTTGGAGCAAAATTTAAAAAATCAATTGTTCTATTAAAAGAGAATTGTTGTAGTCAGAATGAAGGCTGTACATGTACTCAAAAGTGCCTCAAATACCATCTCCTGCGATCTACATTTTCAAAGTTTTCGGTGGGAGGACCCCCAGACCTCCCACCTGTTTCCACCCCTCTTTTAAATCCTGGATCCGCCACTGCCCCCCCCCTAGGAATTTGCTTAGCCTACGGCTCAGGTATTGTTGTCTAACGTTGTCCTTCTTATTCCATTGTTACAGGATTTCTGCGCGTACGTGACTAGTAAGGTTGCCCGATCCAACCACGTCATCACGTGCAACGAGGGCAGCGCGGTGGCGCTGGCGGCGGGATACCACATCGCCACGGGGCGCCACGGTCTCGTCTACATGCAGAACTCGGGACTGGGCAACGCCATCAATCCATTGCTGTCGCTGGCTTCAACGGGAGTGTACAGCGTGCCGATGCTGCTGCTAGTCGGCTGGCGAGGAGAGCCAGGTAAACGCGGGAGGGGAAGCCTGGTAAAGCGGGAGGGAGCCAGGTAAACGTGGGAGGGGAAAAGCCTGGTAAAGCGGGAGGGGGAGAACCAGGTAAACGCTGGGCGAGAGTTAGATAAATCTGGTCGGGAGAGAACAAAGTAAAGCGGGGAGGGGAGAACCAGGTAAAGCGAGAGGGGGAGAACCTGGTAAACGCTGGGAGAGCGCCAGGTAAAGCGGGGAAGGGGAGAACCAGGTAAATGCGGGAGGGGGAGAACCTGGTAAATGCGGAAACGGGAGAACCAGGTAAAGCGGGAGGGGGAGAACCAGGTAAACGCGGGGGGAGAGTCATAGTCAGGAGGCTTATATGCACGTAACAGAGCCCAAATCTGCAAATTATGAAAGACATTTTTAAGGGTCAAATCTGGGTGCATATGTTCCTAAACCATGAAATTTTTGAGGAGCCCAAAAATTTGACCCCGGGAACCCCCCCCCCCTATGGGCCCGGTAAGGGACCCGAAACTGTTATTTGCCATATCTTTGCCCTTCTTTGGTCGATTTGAGCAAAGTTAGAGTCGATATGGGGGGTTTTAAACATCAAGGAATCGACTGTGCGTGGTTTGGAACCTAAACTTGTCATATATTTTATATATGTTTTTTTCAACCAAGTGGTCATGCACCAACTGAGTGTTTTATTTCCCGCGCAACGCCGGGTATCCTGCTAGCATATTTATTTATTTATTTTATTATATTATTATATTATATTATTTATTTTAATTATAATATATTTATTATTTATTTTTTTATGCTCCCATCCTCCATTTTCTTTTTGTGTTGGTTTGCACCACTGATCTCTATTATACTAACGTTAGTATACACAAACGCGGTCTAACTAAATCCGGGTCAGGTCGCAGTCGGATGTTCAGATTAGCCATTGTATGCGCTAAAGAAGACTATTTAGTGGTCATGTCCTGCAGCTTCTGGTTATTCTTACTTTGTGTTTATGGGTGGCCTGCACATTGAACAGGCTGCGCTGGACTTCATAGGCCAGCTCCTCAAAGGGATAGGGATGGATAGTATCGTCACCGCTGCCTCAATGGACACTGTGGGCCTTACTACGGCAGTATGTGATGTCAACAACATCAAGAAAGCTCAGTACGTCTTCCAAGTGTTAGCTGTGGTCTTGGCGCGGTCCATGCAGGACGCGTATGAAGCTGTTCGAGAAGATGAGGACATCACAATTCCAGGAGTGGTCAGAGTCAAAAAGCGACCCTATGTTCGGCTACTGGTATCACGTGCTGCACTACATCAAGGTAGTCCTCATGGTTGTGCGGGCCTTCAGAAGCTAACTTGAACTTGCTGATTGTGGCACTCGATTCGATTGCACCCTTATTTTTTTCGCTAGACTATACACATTATGCTCGCTGGGTCTCTGTGTTCATATACGATTTCAAGACTCTTCCAATCAAGTTCCCCACACTGCACACGGAGTTAGCGTCGGGAAATTTTGTTTTCAACACAAGAGGAAATGCATTCTCTAAGATAGCCCTGGACCAAGCACAAGAACACAACAACAACAAAATCAAATCAACGGCTGGGTACATTGATCTCGTAAATCGCGAGGACAAAGAATATCTTCGTCAGCTTGAACTCTGCCTGCCAGAAATTCACCAATATTTGTCTGCAATAGAGGGGCCTACATTGGCTCAAGGTCACAAGAAGATCACCCCTTCCTTTATCCGCAAGTTCATATCAGACTGTCGAAAAGTTCACAGTAAAATTCTTATCAATCCATTTACCTCAGAATTGTTTGGAAGACTGAATTCCTCCTATATCTTCCCAGAGGTCATTGTCGATGATGCAGGAAGGGTGTTCACAATTGGAGTGCAACAGTATGACGAGTTTCGTCGCAGTAGATTCGTCTATGGAAGTGACGATGTTATCAAATTAAAGGTAACAAGAAACATGCTAAAGCTTCCAAGCAGTGCCGATGATGTCGGATTTGAGAACCCTCGCATCAAGGTCACCCAGCAACTGTTCAACAAATTGAGAGATGCTTGCAAGAACCGTGAATCGGAGACAAAGAAACTTTTCGAGGGGGAGATAACCGGATTACCTGAGTGCTTCGTCAAAAAGAATGGATCCCTTTATCACAGTTCAAAGTCACAGATTTTGGCTGACATCACCGAAAACGCGGTTACACCAAGTCCAACAAATGTCAAAGGACTCGTTGTTGACCTTTCAGTGACCATGTGAGCGCAGGCTGCAGTCCTTCCAGAGGTGTCAACCTTCAATGAATTTGTCTCCAGGGTCCTGCAGAGCATTGAGAACACTGCCACACGCCTGGGCGCGTCTCGAATCGATATTGTAGCAGACCAGTATAACCCGTTAAGCATCAAGAGCCCCACCCGCTCGGAAAGGAAGTCCAAAGGTTCAAGGCAGCAAGTTAACTTTACTGGTGATAGCACTGTCCCGAAGGATATGTCTAAATCTTTTTTCACAGATGATCAGAACAAGACCAGACTTAATGCACTAATTGCGGAAAGCTGTGGTAACCCATCCTCCTGGTCCTGGAAGAAAGATTTCTGTGTCACTAATGGTCTTGAAAATGTTCTAACAAATGCTGGTGAAAGGACTATATACATGCAAAAGATGGAAACCCTAGAAGAGGCGGACAACAGGATGGTGTGCCATATAATTGACATGTTGGCATGTGGTTTATCGCGATTGACTGTACGGACAGTTGATTCGGACGTCATTGTCATTCTTCTCGCCTTTATGCCCCAGTTCCTTAAGATCGACCCGGACTTTGAGCTTCATGTTGATTTTAACTCTGGAAAGAACAGCAAGAACATTCATGTCAATGTTTGCTATGAGTCACTAGGGGAGGACGTCTGCCTAGCCATTCTTCCACTGCTTCACTGGCGCCGATTCTATCTGCTCTTTCTACAAGCTGACCAAGAAGATGTGGTTTTCTCAATGGAATAAGTGCTCGATGAGGGATGAACTGACAGAGGCATTTAAATAACTGAGCTGGTGCCCAGCCGAACAAGTGATCCTCAGCACAGAAAAGATACTTGTGGATTTTGTGTGCTACGTATACTCAAAGAGGGCTGTGTACCAAGATCTCAATGAACTGCGGTTCTCAATGTTCCAGGCCTCAAGTTCTGATGAGTTAAGGGACCTCCCACCTTCATTGGATTCCTTCAGACTGGCGGTACGTTGCAGCGCCTACCAGGCAGGATGGGTGTGGGGTAACACCCTCACTCAGATCCCCAGCCCTCCTCTTGAGATGTGTGGATGGAAACTCTATCAGATCCAACTCCACATTCAATGGACCACAGACGCAGCAAGACCAAACCTCGACATCGTGACTGGCATTTGTCGCAGCCGAACACTCAAGTACCAGTCATGCAAATGCGCTAAGAACAATGTTATGTGCCTTTCTTTCTGCACTTGCACCAGGAAGTGCACCAATCTCTAATTGAAGCATGTACAGGATGATATGCAGTCAGTGTGGGCTGTGTATGTAACAAGTGACCGAGGACGATTGCGGACTGTCAGTCTGTCAGATTTTTACTACGTGTACTACTACTAAGTGAAACCGAATTTCCAAGAGACAGAAAGTGTATCATATGTATCTAATAAATCCTTTGACCTCAAAATACCAGAATTGACTCTAAAGGACAAATTTAGGTTTCAAACCACGCCCAATCGATTCCTTGATGTTTAAAACCCCAAAATCGACTCTAACTTTGCTCAAATCGACCAAAGAAGGGCAAAGATATGGCAAATAACAGTTTCGGGTCCCTTAGCGGGCCCATGGGGGGGGGGAGGTTTCCGGGGTCAAATTCTTGGGCTCCTCAAAAAAATTATTAGTTCAGGAATATATGAACCCAGATTTGATACCCAAAAATGTCTGTCATAATTTTGCCAGATAAAATGTGCATAAGCCGTTCCTGACATATCAGTCGGTAAATCGCGGCGCGGTGAGAACCACGGTAAAATGCGCGGAGGGAGAGTCAGGTAAATGGCGGGCGAGATGGCCGTGAGGAAACCAGGTAAAGCGCGGGAGCGGGGAGCAGCCTGCGCTAAAAGCACGGATGGGAGCCAAGCGTAAACGCGGGGGGAGGGAGAGAACCTGGAAGGCGCAAAGGGGAGAACCAGCGGTAAATGCGGAGAAGGGGGGGCAGAACCAGGTAATCGCGGGAGAGGGAGAACCAGATTAAAGCGGAAGGGGGAGAACCTGGTAAACGCGAGAGGGGGAAAGCCAGGAAAGCGGGAGGGGGAGAACCTGTTAAACGCGAGAGGGGGAGAACCAAGTAAAGCGGGGAGGGGAGAACCAGGTAAAGCGGGGAGGGGGAGAACCAGGTAAATGCGGGAGGGGGAGAACCTGGTAAACGCGAGAGGGGGAAAGCCAGGAAAACGGGAGGGGAGAACCTGGTAAACGCGAGAGGGGAGAACCAAGTAAAGTGGGGAGGGGGAGAACCAGGTAAAGTGGGGTTGGGGAGGACCAGGTAAAGCGGGGAGGGGGAGAACCTGGTAAACGCGAGAGGGGAAAGCCAGGTAAAGCGGGGCGGGGGAGAACCAAGTAAAGCGGGGAGCGGGAGAACCAAGTAAAGCGGGGAAGGGGAGAACCAGGTAAAGCGGGAGGGAAAGAGCCAAGTAATCGTGTTGTATTCTGTTGTGGGAGTTTAGCGCTTTATCAAGAGCTAGTGTGTATATGTTAATATGATGGCAACGATCGGCAGGTAAGCGGGACGAGCCTCAGCACGCCGTACAGGGCCACGTCACGCCGGGCCTGCTCGCGTCGCTCGGAATACCTTTCCAGCCGCTCCCCGACTACCACGAGGGCGCGGTGCAGGCGCTCGAAATGGCACGCCAGCACATGATCAGGTAAGCGTGTACGAGCTCGTCCCAGCGCGGTGCGCGCGTTGACGGACCCACGATCGTCGACGCTTGGTGAGAAAAACAAATTTGTTGATCGTTCGACGAAAAATATTGTTGAACCTACTTGTCAGAATCCGAACCGGTTCTGTAGAAGAGAATATCTGCCAACAGCTGCTACAAACACGGAAATGCTCTACGTTGTACGTTGTATGATTTCGGAAGATTTAATACACCCTAAGCGCGATAAGAGGCTTTTATATTCTATTCGTCACGCGTAAGCAAAGTACCCGCCCGATGCTATATTTCTTCGCATTCTCGTTATTCTCCCGTGATCGGTTTGTTATCGCTTAGAAATCTTACGTACATTGCAGGCATGCGGCCGACGACTTTTAAATTATAACGATTTATTCGCAACTTTTGTTGCAGCGCGAAAGGTCCCTACTGCCTCCTCGTGAAGCGACAGACGTTCCTCCCGTTCCGCCTGCAGCGGCAGCAAACGTCGTTCGCGTTGACCCGCGAGGCGGCACTGCCGGCCGTCATCGACGCGCTGCGTGGTGACGAGGTGTGCGTGAGCACGAACGGCATGCTCTCGCGAGAACTCTTCGAGTACCGCGCCCGCCGCGGCCAGCCGCACAGCCGCGACTTCTACACCGTCGGATCGATGGGCCACATCGCCACGATCGCGCTTGGCATCGCTCTCTTCCACGCCAACAAGCACGTGATCTGTCTGGACGGCGACGGCTCGGTGATTATGCACATGGGGGCGCTGGCTACGGTCGGACAGCGCGACCTGCCCAACCTCAAGCACGTCGTCTTCAACAACGGCGCGCACGACTCCACCGGCGCGCAGCCGACGGACGCGGCGAACCACGACGGCTTTTCCTTCCCGAGAATCGCCGAGGCGTGCGGCTACCGGGAGACGCTGGTCGCGCGCACGGAGGAGGAGGTGAGGGAGAGCGTGGGCAAGATGCGGGCGGCACGCGGTCCCGTCATGCTCGAGGTGAAGTGTCGCGTCGGCGCGAGGAAGGATCTTGGACGACCGACGTGCACGCCGACGCAGAACAAGGCCGACCTAATGCACTACCTTCACGCGGCAAATTAATGGGACAGAAAGGACGAGCTGGCGAAGGAACAAGACCGACCTAATGCACGCCCTTCAGACGGCAAATTAATCGGAAACAAATGAGGAGCTGGCGGAGGAACAAGTCTGATCTGATGCACTACCTTCACGCGGCAAATTAATGGGAAAGAAAAAAGGAGCTGGCGGAGGAACAAGTCTGCTCTGATGCACTACTTTCACACGTCAAATTAATGGGAAAGAAAGGAGGAGCTGGCGGAGGAACATTAATGACGTATATAGTCAATAATTGTTTGACGTTGATTCGTTTTTAACGTCATGGGCAATCTCACAGGCACTTGGAACGTCTCAATAAAATAAAAAAAGGTAAATAAACACGAAATGTATTTACTACTAAAGTCTTAATGTTTCTCTACTCTAGTTCGCCTATTATTATCGATAACTTGCTGTAAATGCCGTTCAAATGCTCATCTGCAACACACAAGTACACCGCACGCACGCCCTGTGCACAAACAACAAGAATAAAAGATAGGTAGGTAAGGTAAAGTAAGGTAAAGCGGGAGGGGGAGAACCAGGTCAATGCGGGAGGGGGAGAGTCAGGTAAGGCGGGAGGGGGAGAGTCAGGTAAG